GCCCCTTGGCAAAGGCCCCCGCCCCGCTTTATCCACACAGATTCCCTGTTTACGGCTCCCCCGCGCCGTGTTCCCGCGGCGCCCGCGCTCGCACGCTGACCCGAGCTCGGCTAGAACCTGCCGGGCAGGCAGCTGAACCCAGGGCAGCCCTTTGGGGTCGGAGATCCCTGCGCTCACAACGGGCCTGGGGTAAAAGCAGGTGTTTGGGGCAGACAAGTGGGCCAGTTTTCCTTCCATATGAGAAATATGTTCTATGCACTGGAACAGGCTGCCCAGAGAGGTTGTGGAGTCTCCTTCTCTGGAGATCTTCAAACCCGCTTGGACGCAGTCCTGTGCCACGTGCTCTAGGTGACCCTGTGTGTGCAGGGGTTGGACTGGGTGATCCCTAGAGGTCCCTTCCAACCTTGACCATTCTGGGATTCTATGATTCTATGAACCCTGAAAGGAGATGTCAAAAGCAAATGGTATAGATTTGATTAAAAAAAATGAAAAAGAGAAACTGGCTGGTACAATAGTAAACAGGTCGGTTTTGTTAGGAAGGCGGTAGCTGAGATTGTCAGGGTTAATTTGATAAAATGGCCTTGCTTTTTCCTCTCGATTTCCAGCTAATACGTAACACATGGCTCGTTACCGCCTTGGCAGAGCTCCCTCGTTGAGGGCTTCCTTTGCCTTCACCCCGCAGGGTTCCCTGTGCTTCCCACATCACCCCTTTTTGGTGGCCGTGATGGTCACGCGTACGTCTTGCCGTGCAGGTTAGCGGTGAACAACGTGACCATGATGGGAACCGTCCTGAAAATGACGGACCGGAGCCACCGGCAGAAGCTGCAGCTCAAGGCCCTGGACACGGTGCTGTTCGGACCTCCTCTCCGTAAGTACCGCTGAGGACGCGGCCGTTCCTTTCTGGAAGAGGGAAGGTTCCTGCGCACGTGGTGTCGAACGGCAGCCGCACACCCAGGTCAACCGAGCTGCCCCCTGCGTGATGTCCTGCGGGTAAATTGTCACCAGGAGAAGCAGCGGAACAAAGAACTGAAACACCAAAAATTCCACAGGAACTTGAGGAAAAATTCCTTCCCAGTGAGGGTGCCAGAGCCCTGGAACAGGCTGCTCAGAGAGGTTGTGGAGTCTCCTTCTCTGGAGATCTTCAAACCCGCTTGGACGCAGTCCTGTGCCACGTGCTCTAGGTGACCCTGCGTGTGCAGGGGTTGGACTGG